TTATAAGCTCTAAGAATCTTCTCACAATCAGTTCGTTACTCTTATTAGCTGTTTTAACGAGATTAAGCACTAATTAGCCGTTTGTTTACACCAGGTTCATATATATTTCACAACACTAAAAACTGTAAGTATAAAATAATAACGTTTACTATACTTCTAAGTAAACACAAAAGGCACCACGCAAACAAGCGCTGTACAAAACGTTATATGTACCTAAATTAAAAGATATTGCGATCAAACTTTTAGTTATAAGTGAATAACGCGAGCAAGTCTAATAATTATCTGTGGATTCTGTGGCTTTAAACTAATAACTTATTAATGTTTCCGGCATCCCAAACGGCGCCCCTTGTTTGAATATTGTTATTATGCTCTTTACTTACTAGGTACCTTTTGAATTTGACAGTTTATCTGGCACCAGTGGGCTAATAATAAAATTTCATAGACATAAGAAGTTGGTTAAAAATACACATAATTATGTAAAATTACTTTGAGTTAAGAATAAATGTTGTATTCACTAATTGTTTAGTATTTTATTATTCTTAAAATCACGAACTTCGTTCTAGTTTCCTTCGTTCACTGTAACTCTCTTTTCTATAATGAGCTTTTAGGAGCGGTTTTACCGTGTTACCCGCTGTTCGACTCCCATTTCCTTATCCCTTTTTTTTAAAAATTACGTCCCACACTATGATTTTCTCATATGTCGTGGTTGCGTTTACAAAAATACAAAATCACATACACATGCACCCAGACCCGAAACATTTATTTTAGGATCACACAAATCGTTGTTCCATGCCTGAATCGAACCCGCGACACGTTGCACAGAAGACAGTTGCGCAGCCACTACGCTGAACGTGTAGTCGTTCAACAAAAAATGTATATACATACCTATTACCTATTATGTACCTGTTTGGCGTTTAAAAATATAACACAATATCTACATTCTAAGCATATTTTTTTCCTACGAAAAGTTCAATTTCAGCACACTACGTGGGCGGAGCGTAAGTGACGTCAGTGACGTTAAATAAGTAGGTACCTACCTAAATCTTACGATTCTAGGCTTGGGCATGCGAAAAAATATCGATAGTCGATATAATAACAAATTATTGCTTTTATTAGGTGATTAAATAAAATATACTTTAGTACATAAATAGGTACCTACATAATTCCATTACTTGAGTTTTTTCTATTCAAGTCTATGAGGTTTTTCGCCGCCGTAGAATCAATGTCACTATATTGAGACTAATGTAGGTAAATGAGCGAAATACAAATTATCCAACATTTATGGTAATTTGACTAACACTAAATAATCCTATCGATAACCCATAATACCCCAAGACTAGTCTACTATGTAGTGTGAGTGTATAAATATATATGTATGTGTAAAATGTAGTGGAATAGAATAAAGAAACTAGCGACACGATGAACCGAATCGTGAATTTGGTAGTTTGAAGCGCGGCGCCGCTTTGACGGGAGTTGGCTTCAAGGACAAACTCCGAGTATCGGGTTCGTCTTTGTTATCAAAACAAAATATCAATTCCGGCAAACGGTAGTGCGGTAGGCAATCGGTCATTGCTGTTCGCTGTGCTAATAGTAGTCGGAACATAAATACTTTACTTCATAGATGTAATGTATCTATGTACTACCTACATTAAAACAATCAACATTTTCTAACTCTAAACAGAGACAGGAAGATTTGAAGGATCGACTAAGCGATACCTACTGGGTTAACTAAGTTAGACTTGCTGTGACTTGTGAGTTAAGTACTAACTTTATTATTCAGAAACTTTAATTTTTTTGGAAAGGATTGTCATCAAGACTTCGACATGTCGATAGCAACTTATGTATTTTTGGATTTACAATCAAACTGTGTTCCAAAAAAATCAAACACGAAAGTTGGAATAACGGAATTGTGTATGTTAGCCATAAAACATGAACACATAGTGAAGATGAAAAAGTATCAAGAAGATCCTCGAGTTCAACATAAGCTCCAAATGTGCTTCAATCCCAAATCTTCATTGAATGAAAATGCTTCAGAGACAGGATTGACAGAAGATCTACTGAAAAATGAAGCAATATTCAATAAGGAAGTGTGTGAACTTATTAAAGCATTTATTGAAGATCTGGAAGACCCTGTGTGTTTAGTAGCACATGATGGCTTTAAGTTCCATTACCCGTTACTTAAGCAACATTTAGAAGCATTCAGTGTAAAGTTGCAAAAAAACATTGTGTGCACGGATAGTCTGTATGCTTTTCTTGAAATACTGGAATCAGAAAAGAGTGGCACCACAAAATATGTAAAAGTGAAAGTTGGTACCAAACCCAAGAAAAATGCTATTTCAAAAACTAAACAACAATATATTCACATAATGAAAGGGTCTGATAACGACTTGATAAAAATGAGATCAAAAATAAATAATTATACAAAACTAAGTGATGTTTGCGACAAGATTTTAACTGATCAGGAGGAATTGCAATCTAATACAGCTGAGAACCATTGCATCATGCTTATGAGAATGGTGCTTACAAAAAAAGACCAGTTTTTAACATGGCTTCAAAATAATCAATGTCTTTTTTCAGAAATGCCGAACAAAGTTAACGGTTAATCACTATCCATTGTCTTTGTCTATAATATTTCAATGATTATTTTTTTTTGAAAACTGATATTTTGTCTAAAATATATTATTAAGTACCTACTTATAATGTGAAACTTGATGTGTGAACAATATAAGTATGTGTAGTTAAGTACCTAGTAAGTACAAATTTCTTTTTTAGATTTTATATGATTGTTGTTTTATATAAATTTATAAATAAAATTACTATCTAAATGTGATAGATATCTTCATATTGTTGTACACAGGAGAAACAAATACATACTTCTGTATTTCTAAGTGGTAATTGCACCAAGTGCTAGTTGCCTTAGCACTTAGCCAAGAAAGATTAAAATTATATATATTTTTTCATCTATATTAATTGTACAATTGTAATTCTTAATTGTACAATTGTACTAAGTACAAGGTTTATAAAAACTGTAGTTATTATGATTACTTACATAGTTATAAATCTAATTTGATTATTTTTGAGATGTTTTATTTACTTATTTTACCTTAACATATTGCACTTTTGCACTCTACAAAGTTATTAATACAAGGCCAACAGAGCATGAAGGTAATTTTATTTATACTACTAGAAGTCTATGGCCTGACTGCCTGAGCCTGAGTGCAGAAAATAAAACCTAGATATCAAACTGATTGTGTACCCAGATTAAAATTTGTCAAGTTCTAAACAATAAACAAATTACTTAAGTTTGAACTACGAAATAGTACGTATCTAATGAAAGTTTTAAATTAATATTCAAGCATTATGTGTACCTATCCAATTAAACTAAAAACTGTATTCACATAAGAATAACATACTCCTAGGTTATATTAAAACCAAAAATAATATTTAAAAAATTACGTGTATAAAAAACAACACGGAAAATAATTAATACCTATTAGGTATTAAAATTGAATTACATCTGTAAAAATCGATTTTTAGACTAATTTTCAAATCATTTTTGGTAAAACTTAATACCAAAACATATTTTGGACATCATCAATTGATTGTACCTACCAACTGGGAAATAATTTATTAAAAAATATCTAAAACACTACCTATACCTATTATTTTATTTATTATCATCGTATGACCACCCTATATTTGTATACTATAAATGAACAATGTTGATACTTTTATATAAAAAAAATGCTATTTAATAATTTTTTTGTCTTTGCTATTTGATATGGAACCGTTCTTCAAAACTAGAGACACATTTTTTAACTGTAAACGTGCATATATCGTGATTGTTTTTTGGTTCTAATCGTAGTAAATGTATGGAACCGTAAGGCTTCTGGCGCAACATAACATTTCAAGATATTGTAGTATATAGATATACATAGGTACTTTATTATACACTCAATACCTAACTAGAGTCTGAAAAATAAATATTTATACTGGGATTTAATAATTTTTTATGAATGTTCTTTTAAAATGGCAGATTAATGCACAGACAAAAGAGTAACAGACGAATCATCAGCTACACATTTTGAAGCACAGAAACAAATGAAATAAGGTCATTAGTACACGTTTATTATTTAATAGCACTAAAATATATTAAAAGAAACGTTGGATTGTAATCAATTGATACCCAGTGTAAAAGTCGCTAACTAGTTTGGTTAACAGTGACGAATGAAAAATAAACTTATTTAGTACTAGCTATTCACACGCGTTTTCACCCGCTGCTCAGCTCCTACAGATCATAGCTTGATATTTTTTAACTAAGAAACACAATAAGTATTGTTCTATTCGAACCAAATAAACAAATTCGACAGCTTTATAATATTAGTATAGATTATATTTTACTTAATATATAACAAAGTTTTAACTATAATTTACAAAACATTTTGTTTTTTAAAGGTTTTATAACAAGTACCTATCCAAAGAGTGTAAAGTAAGGGGAGCAAGTATCAATACCCTTTAATCCTTTTGTATTTGGTGTTGCCATACGAAGATTTTGTAAATCTACCGCTCCATTTAGGCTCTATTGTAGCAAACGACAACAAAGATTTATACCCGATTGCCGTAAAAATATTTAATCTAAATGTCAAAACGAATAACTTTTAAACAACTATTTCTTTTGTTAGTTAAATTTTCAATTATAAAAGTCGAAAGTTTCTCTTAGTCTTTGTTCATTTTGCCAACTTGTACCTACAACATAGTGTTTATACTCTTTGCTTGAACTACTTGTACATTATCGTATGCCATAGGTAAAGATATTGAATACTGACTATTATATTTTTTAATACCTATTATATATAAGTTTAAAAAGGTCATCAATTCGAGGCGTTTCCACAAGCAACATTTTATTAACTTGCATGTTGTATGAAACGCCTGTTTTCTCTATTAGCCATGGCAAAGTTATATTGTAACTGGCAACCAAAGAGTAAAATAAATATAGGGGAACTGGCAGCACTGATTTGCTCACTGACAGATTGATAGTGATAGTCCGCCTGCTGTCTGCCGCAGTGGTGGGTTGTGTTATCGTGGAAGACGTGTTCTGATTATTTCACACAATTTATTATAATTTGGGCGTTTTGTATTAACTGTTAAGTGACTATAACACAAATATACAATATTTTATGACTACAAAGCCTGTGACTGGAAAACTGAGTGAAATATTCAAAACAGTTGATGGAAATAGGCAATGCAGTGTTTGCTATCGAGTAGATTTTTTTAAAAAGTTGTTGTCATTTATTTACGTTACAATGGGGAAATTATTGAGTCTGTTGTCTCGGGATGACTCGAATTGTTGTTCATCGCCGCGGTACGATATATTTTTGGATTTTGAGAACGCCGCGCCCACGGACACTGAGCGCGATGTTTATGAAGAGGTGCAAAGGGTGCTGCTTGACTCAGAGAAAATATTGGAGGAGATACAGTGTTACAAGGGGGCGGGGAAAGAGATACGAGAAGCTATAGCGGACCCATCGAGGATATCACAGGAGCGAGCCTGGCGTGCTGTTCGTCCACTCGTGGACAAACTTCTGCGCTGCTACAATCACTCTCTGCAGCTGCAGCGGGTAAGTTACTGAATCCCTAACTCGTACTGCGACCGTAACTAACTTTTCAACATGTTTGTAACTTATTTGAAAGCCATTGTAAATATGGCATGATATTGGAAGGCTTTACTTAATAATTGTGGGTACAAGTTAAAATATTATTGAACAGGATATTTTTAGAAATTTTATACAAGTTTAAACTTTGGAATATGTAAATATACTTTTGTTTGGATATATAATCAGTTAGGTATGTACTTTTTGAATGAATACTAACATCAATATATATTCTTATAAAAGACGAAATAGTAAATGGCTTATTTGCAACCTACACCAATTCAGTTTGAGGTGAACATTACTGTTTTTATTTTCGTTAGGTTCAATGGAATAGGTACTTAAAGGCATGTTTTTTTATTCAATACATGCTACACTAAAACAACAGTGAAATATTTCTTATTATTGTAAAATATTTTATGTTATTATTGACAGTGGCTTTGCTTGCATTACTATATTAGTAAATGACTGATGTTATCCTGTTGTAATTGAGTTATGAATATTTAACCAAATTACAACTAACAATAGTTATATTATAGCCCGCTGTATTATTTATTTACATTAAAACATATTTAAATTAGGCAGGTAAAAATAAGTTTAGAATAATGACAATAGACTTTATGTAAACCTTAAAAGAGGTATTATATATAAGCTATTTTTTGAAGGCAAAAATATATTTTTTATTCCTAAATGACAATGATAGTCTTTCACAAACATTGCATTAGTGTCGAGCACAGTCTAATCAAGTAGTTCTCCATTATCTTATATTTTGTATTACAAAGTAAACATTAAATATTTTAACACAAGACTTGTAGGTACATTGTCATTTTGCATCCTGTATGGCACTCAGATAACTGTGATAAGATTATGTGATGTCACATTGATAAGTTCTCACACTGATAACTCTGTAAGCAAATAAAACAGTGTTTGTCAAGTGTATTGTATAGTATGGAAATATTCAAAGTATTTTCCTTTATATCTATCTGTTTTCAGTGGTTTATGCTTGTGTTCTGGGTGGTAAATGAAAATAGGGAATTTTGTCGCAGCGTCTCTACTAGTGTTATTTTAATAAACAGTGGAAAGATTCAATTCATTTTAATTATTTAGGAGGATCAGGAATTTATTCTTATTTCTTTCTTGAAAATATAGCAGCCTAGTTACCTGTTTACCACCACATAGGACACTGGTGACCAACGAAGAAGATTTGGCAGTCCAAGCCTTAATTAAAAGCAGTATAGGGGTGGATTTTGGTCAATAAAAGTCTGTTACTACCTCTCTCTAAAAATTATCAAAGGACTTTTTGCCCCCAGAATCTAGATGTCTAGGGGGAAAGAAGTAATTTGACAGATTTTTCATCCGGTTTTTGAGTTGAATATCTCATGATGTAAAGTTTGCAAAGACAACACATCTAAGCATACTTTACACATGAAATAAGGGTGTTTTCAATTTTAGTTATATACAATATTCAAATTCTAAATAGGTTTTTCATAAAATAAAAATAGGTACACACCAGATATTTTACTGTCATCTAACTAAAAAACAAAATAAAAATACAAATAAAAGGTCTTTCATTATCAATTATATTATTTAAAAAAAGAACAAACATTAATATTTCGAACTCTTGCCAGACTCAGTTAATGAATTAAAATATCTCCCTAATGAGTTTATACTCTCTCTCTAGTGAGCAACACATGATATTTATGAAAATGTAAATAGCTATAAATAAATAATAAGTCTTAGGGTGTCCATTCCTCTGTAAACATTTCACGCTGAACACGCGTGCTGAAAGGTTAGGTATATACCTACCTACTTATATAGACTCGTTTGCATACATTGTGCATTAATTCAAAATGTCTTGTACCTATAGATAAATTATATAGGTACTGTGCTTTTACCTCTTTATACTATGCTTTTACAGTAATTCTGTGAGTGATCAGATGACTATTATTCTTAATTTTCCAAAAGTTTCTATTGATTGTCGATTGTTTAACGATTTATTTGAAAACGTAAGGGCAAGGAAAATGGAAAGACGATTCTAATAAGCGTAACATACCTACCTAATAATCTAAGGACCTATCGGAAATTCCGATTAATGTAGGTACTAGGTTCATCTACATCTCTAATGCCATCTTATAGACACTTAGCGATTTAGAACAGTCTTCAAAAAATGATTTTCAATTATTTTGCCAAGCAATAGTAAAGTTAAATCGTGCTTGTATCGAATAGAATTTGATTAAAAATAATAAAAAAAATTGCGAGGAAATATTCTGATGGTTATTTGCCTGCCGGAAACACATAAAATGTCCGTCTAAATGGTAGTATACAATCGGTAGCATACTGCGTACGGCTCCCAGTAAGCTCAATCAACTGGTTAGTATCTTTTCGGCTGCGACCGTACGTGCTTCCGGCACGTACCGACTAGTAGCGAAACGTTACTACCATAACATTCCCATTCTTGGTAACCTATTCATACAGCTCGAAGCAGAAAACCAACCAATGACATTGTATCATACAGAACTACCATTATTGTAGCTACCCGCTAAGGTAGAAGGTTGCTATTACCCGATTATTTTGCCCAATTTCTGAGAAAAAAATTATGATTAAGGTTTAGCAAAAGGGGAGGTCTTTGTTCAGCAGTGGACGTTTTCCGGCTGATGATGATGATATTATGAAGTTTTGGCGAAATTGTTCCAAACCTTTACGCGTGATATGATGCCTAAAAAGAATTTGTGATTCCCTTTTGAATTACGAGTCTGTACAGGACATATTATTATGATGACAACATGCCATGTACAGCACATTCTTAATCTTATTCGGGTTTAGAAGAGCCATGCTTCAGCACGAATGGGCGTGCTTAACCGCAATAATACCACGACCTTACACTTGTTACTCTCCTGAAGCAGATAGTTTTACGTCCTATCGAATAAAAAATACTTTTTCGAGACCTAAATTGTATTGACAGGCTACCATTTCAATTTACAGACGTACCTACATGTATACATATTGGTATTACCAAAAATTTTAAGTTGTACAATCGTCCTTAAATCGCTCACTAAAATAATGTTAATGTTAAACTCTTTTACTATTGTAGATATTTATAGCTATTAGTATAATTAATACAAATACAACTAAAAACAATGGTAGTATTTATGTAAAACTAGGTAGGCGTTGTGGTTTTGTACTTGGGTAGAAACTCGAACATTCGCAGATTGTTGCAACATCACAACATTAGTGGTACCTATTAATAAAAAGAACATAAACAAACATATGAAATGGTTATAAAGTATCACAACAGATTTTAATTAAAACTTCTTATAAGTATAAACTCTTTAGATAAAGCTTAGTAGTTACGAAGAAAAATGACCTCTATTAAATTAATTAGCGTGACACGGTCTATATAGTTTTAAAACCTAATTATTATTCAATTGTGCAATAAGAATAAGATCTAGGTCAAGCTTAAAAAATATTGCAGTATTTCTTGATCACAGATAACTAATATTTCTTAGCTTCCTCTGTTATTTTAATTGGAGCAAGTGCTTGTTGTTCATTATCCAATTTACGTAATGATTGTAGCCGCTTCACTCCACTTTCTAGTGCACTCTTTGTCTAGATTCTAGATGTAGCTGAGTTGCAATATGATTTGCACATTTCTTTAATTTTATCGAATATTCTTAGCGTTTTTTATCCAAGCCTTTTTTTAACCTTTGATCGCCGACGAACAAAATACAAGTACTTATATGTAAGACGTTTTCTGTCGCTTATCCTCGACATTGGCGAATTAGGCTATTTGCGTTTCTCGTCTATAGCCAACTATGGCAGTTGAAAGCTTAGGTAACTACAAGCTACATACCTGATTTGGTTACTTTTCTAAAGTAACGTGTGAAAAAAGCCGAAAAAAAAACAAAGAACTGATTTTAAAACCCACGAAAATATAAATAAAAACAAAAAAAGAAGTCCCAAGTTACCTCTGACGCACCCTACCACGTCCATTACGTGTGTCAATCATCCAATCAGAACGGTCACAACTCACACGAGCAGTGTGAGAATGCGTAGCATATGATAACGCATGCTGCATCCTCTGAGGGCAATGTAACCATCAATTTATTCGCCTTATTAGATCTCCTGATTTATAATACATAAATTAATATGAACATTGTCATGCTTTGAACTTTGAGAAAATGTCTTTTGTTTATTTGTTTTATGCTCTTTTAGTAAGTGAAGGAAATGGAATTATTAGTGTGATTAATGGTTTATGTAGTTACATTTAGGCTTTTCATTAAGTAACGTTGATTCTTGAAGTAGTAATCCTTATTTGATCAACTCGTCTTCTACAAAGGATCTTCAAAAGAGGGTCTGCTATTGTCATTGGGAATTTAATGAGGGTTTTCTATACTCTATCTGCCGCCAGGTGGCGCTTCATATTCGTCAGGTTCACAATCTTGTATACATGTGTATTGATGGGTGGTTAGACCTCTACAGAGCTGAAATCTCACGGCAAACATTTCAGAAAACCCTCAGCGTCTGTAAATGTTTCAGTTCTTAACTGTCTATGGAAAATTTAACAGTTGATATGATAAAATTGACTAATCTAGTACACTAATTTTATGCTAAAAAAAATACGTTAATTCAGGATTTTAATTGCAAAGTAAAAGCCATATGTTGTTATCTTTTAACATTATTAATATATTTATAAAATAATGTTCTATATAATACAAACATTGGTTATATTCTAGTGCAACATATTTTATTTATAAACATAGTTTTCCTTCCTCATGGCAAAAGTTTTATACTGTGTAACACACGGTTACTGGATTGAATCAATCTAGTAAGTTTGTAAATTAATTAACGAATGTCAAATGCAGATAACCTAACCTCTTTAAGATATTGATGTTACTGTAACTCATCTCATTATTAATAATTATCGTTTTAAAGCAAAGTTGATAAAACTTATTCGCTTGTATTCAACAAGC